CGTGTTGTGTTTGCACCCTCTGGTTGCTCTGTTCAGGATCTGACGACGGGGAGGGAGATCGGCAGGGGGCGTAAGTGTGGTCGGATTTTTCACTTGGATGCTCTAGAGGACAAATCGGCTGCTTCATCATCATCATCTGTGTCTCGGTTCCCCTTTCCCTCTTCGGTGTCTAGAGATAATTCTTTGCCTGTTTTTTCGAGTCTTGCTGAACAAAAATTTCGTTTATGGCATGCACGTTTAGGACATCCCCATTCTGGGAGACTTGTTACTATGTTTCGTAAATGGCTATTTGGCAGTGATAGTTTGGCACATTGTTCGTTTCCGTTATCTTGTTCTGGTTGTGTGGAGGCTAAAACAACTAGAATTTCATTTCCTTCTAGTCAAACTGTTATCACTGAACCGTTCCACCTGATTCATACTGATCTTTGGGGTGCTAGTCCTGTGACCTCTCGTCATGGTTATAAATATTTTGCTCTCTTTATCGACCATGCCACTCGGTACACATGGGTTTATTTTCTGCGTCTTAAATCAGATCTCTTGTCAGTTGCTACAGAATTCCTAAACATGATCAAGACGCAGTTTTCTAAATCCGTGCGTATCATTCATTCTGATGAAGGTGGGGAGTTCAATTCTACTCCTCTTTTGTCTTTGTATAAGTCACTTGGTATTCTCACCCAAAAGTCATGTCCGGGTGTCTCCCAACATAATGGTTTGGTAGAACGGAAAAACAGGCATGTCTTAGAAGTTACTCGTGCTTTGTTGCTGTCTTCTGGTGTTCCTTCATCTTTTTGGCCTGAAACTGTCTCCACTGCTGTCCGTCTTATTAACTATCAAATCACCTCGGTTCTTGGTCAGTCCAGTCCATATTTTCGGCTATTTTCCAAACATCCCCCTTACTCTCGTCTTCGTGTCTTTGGTTGTATGTGTTTTGTTCTCCTCCCTCGGTCTGAACGTACTAAACTTACCTCTAAAACTGCTAGGTGTGTCTTTCTTGGGTACAGTGATGTTCATAAAGGCTATCTATGCTTTGATCCTACTTCCCAGCGTCTCCGTATTTCCTGCAATGTAGTCTTTTTTGAGCATCTCATGTACTACTCTGGTCCGTCTTCGTCTCCTTCCTTGTTTGACACTAGCTTGGGTCCTCCTTCCTTTTCTGATGATGATGATGATGATGAGTTTCCCGATGCCGACTCCACCCCTGCCGACCAGGATGCTCCTCCCTCTCCTCCATCGTCGCCGACCCCTCCTACACCATCGTCGCCACCTACTTCGCTGAGTTCCTCCTCACCACCGAGTTCACCATCACCGCCCCAACCTGTCCTTCGGCATTCCACTCGCTCCACTTTTGGTCAGCCACCAATTCGTCATCATGATTTTGTTACTTATGGGGTTGAATCTATTCTTGTTCCTACCAGATATGAGCAAGCTTGTGGTGATCCCAATTGGGATAATGCTATGACCGAGGAGATTACAGCACTTCATGCCAATCATACCTGGGATGTTGTGGACCGCCCCCCTCCTGATGTTCCGGTTGTTGGTAGTCGCTGGGTCTACAACATCAAAGTCCTCCCGGATGGTACTCTCGAGCGCTTCAAAGCTCGGGTGGTGGCGCAGGGATTTACACAGGAGTACGGGATTGATTTCACTGAGACCTTTGCTCCTGTGGCTAAGATGGTCACTGTTCGGGCTCTCCTCGCCGTTGCTTCTCTCCGTCAATGGCCGCTTTTTCAATTGGATGTCAAGAATGCATTCCTTCATGGCGACTTGAAGGAAACAGTTTATATGGAGCGTCCTCCGGGCTACACTGTTGGTTCCCCTGGCTAGGTCTGTTTGCTTCGTCGGTCACTGTATGGGTTGAAGCAGGCTCCTCGAGCGTGGTTTGACAAATTTCACAGCACGATTTTAGGCCTTGGCTTTCAGCAGAGCTTAAATGATCCTTCTTTGTTCACCTGTCAGTCCTCGCATAGTTTGGTCATTTTGTTGTTATATGTGGATGATATGATCGTGACAGGTGATGATCAGGATGGGATTGCTCGTCTAACTCGTGGACTTCATGAGTCGTTTCACTTGAAGGAGCTTGGCTCCTTATCTTACTTTCTCGGCCTCGAGGTTCTCCGTACTAAGGGTGGCTTGTTTCTCAGTCAGAAGCGGTATGTGGAGGATTTGTTGGAAACCACCGGCTATGCTGATGCGACTCCAGTCTCTACCCCCATGGAAGTAAATGTCAAATTGGGGCGCGAGTCCGGAGAAGCTTTGGTGGATGGGGGGAAGCAGTATCGTAGCATTGTGGGCAGTTTGATTTATTTGACTTCTACTCGACCCGATATTGCGTATGCTGTTCAGGTGGTGAGTCAGTTTATGTCAGCGCCGCGTACAGCTCATCTAGATGCAGTTCATCGGTTATTGAGATATTTGCAGGGTACGAAAGGGGTCGGTTTGTTTCTGCCATCGACAGGGAAGTTGGTTCTACAAGCCTTTTCTGATTCTGATTATGCAGGCTGTATAGACAGCCGCCGATCTACTTCGGGGTGGTGTGTTCGACTTGGTGACTCTTTCATTTCCTGGCGGTGTAAGAAGCAGGACCGAGTGTCGAAGTCTTCGACAGAGGCAGAATACCGGGCAATGTCAGATGTCACATCTGAACTAGAATGGCTAGTACGGTTATTTGGTGATCTTGGTGTCACCTGCGAGCTCCCTATGCAGTTGTATGTGGACAACACTAGTGCCATTCAGATTGCGAATAATCCGGTTCTACATGATAGAACCAAACATATCGAGGTTCATGTTCACTATATTCGAGATCTGGTTCGTGATGGTACAGTGCAGGTTCGTTATGTTAAGTCTGAGGACCAGATTGCAGATCTTCTGACGAAGGCCTTCACTGCGGGAAGACATTCATATCTCTCTGGCAAATTGATGATGAAGAACCTCCATCAATTTGGGGGAGGCTGTTGAGTTATAGAAGCCCACAGTGAGAGAGCCCATGTAAATATAATTAGTGTCCATGTACGTAGGTAATTAGGGAGCTAGGGTTGGACTAGGGTTCGGCCATGAACTCTATATATATAGCCTCGGTGTAATCTGTACGATCATCAAAATAGTAGAACACTCACCTGCTTTGGCCGTGGACTAGTCTCGTTCATCCTGAACGAGGAAACCACGTAAATCTCCGTGTCGCTTTCTTGTTCCGTTTCCGATTCAGTTCTGCTTTGTTTACATGCCATTCATGAGGAAAGGGTTAACTTGGAGCATAAGAAATGGAAAATGCCACCTTGAAGGTTGTGCTCAAAGACTTTGCCCTCCTTGACTTGTCTGAAGAGGAGAAGCACTCGATTGTGGCCGAATGGGTTACTAGTGAAGCTAAATGAGATTGGGAGAGGTTTAAGATTTTCTTGCCTATAAAGTTTTGATCCAATTGTAGGTATGGAGGTCCAAAACACCTATCTTGGCGAAGATCAAACTACCTGGGGAGTCGAAAAGGATGGGAGACTTATGAAGCCATCTTGAAGGCTATGCCATTCATGAGGATAGGCTTAACTTGGAGGATAAGAGATGCAAAGGCCACCTTGAAGGCTATGCTCGAAGACTTTTCCCTCCTTGACTTGTCTGAAGAGGAGAATCGATCAATTCTGGTTAAATGGTACACTAGTGAAGGTGAATGAGATTGGGAGAGGCTTAAGGTTTTCTTGCCTATGAAGTTTTGGTTCAATTGCAAGTATGGAGGTCCAAAACCATTATCTTGGCAAAAATTGAACTACCTGGGGCGTCGAAAAGGATGAGAGTTTTAGGGAGCCCTCTTGAAGGCAATGCCATTCACGAGGAGTGGGTTAACTGGAAGCATAAGAAATGTTAAGGCTGCCTTGAAGGCTGTGCTCGAAGACTTTGCCCTCCTTGACTTGTCTGAAGAGGAATATCACTCGATTGTGTCTGAATGGTTTACTAGTGAAGGTGAATGAATATAAGGAGAGGCTTTTTCTTGCCTATGAAGTTTTACTTCAATTACAGGTACAGAGGTTCAAAACCATGATCTCGGCCTACAACCTTGTGGCAGGCGATATGGTGGAAGAACCGGTCTAGGAATGAACATAATTGAATGAGACGACCCTTATAGAGTTAGACTCTTCCTTTGGTTGGTTTTACATAACCGCTTGCTCATAAATTGGAAGATCACAAACAAAGGGGATTGCAACCACTGCTCAGGGGAGACCGAAACCGTGGAACACATACTCAGGAATTGCAAAAATATCAAGGGTTTCTTGAGTTATTAGTGATGCATGGTGAAATGTCGTAATGCCATGCTCGACTTTTAGGGGTTGTTTGGAGAACAAGATTTGGATCGTGGATTTATTGAATCCATAGATTTAGCAAAATGTGATGTTTTTTTGCTACTTTTTGTATCGTGGATTGTAACTTCAGAGATTTTAAATATCTAAAATCTAGAGATATCAAATCTCTCATAATTAGAGAGATTCTACATCTTGATTTTGAAGATTTTCTCCCTCCTATTATATCTCTGGTTTTTTTTCATTTATCCCACTAAATACCCTTACCAATAAATTCTAAATATTTTCGAGCCAATCTAATTATTTTGGTTAAGGATAAACATGTTATGAGATAATAAAAAAAATAGAATTTCGTTTTTCATTGAATGTTAACAATCATAGTTACCAAACAATGAACATTTTCAAATCTTTTTTCAACAATCCAAAGAGTTAAAATCTTTGGATTGTCTAGAATCTAGAGATTTAGACTCCAATTCTCCAAACGAGCCCTTAGACTTGGTTCAAATAATACTAATGTAGGCGATATGAGAGTGGATTTTGGTTTTTGTGTTGGATCGTATATTTGGTTGGTTTCACAGAAACGGACGCCATCGGGAAACAGAAACGGACGGCGGATGGGAGGTAGCGAAACGCGGACCAGCGGGCGGTAGGTGGGTCATTGATTTTTTTTTTATTTTTATTTTTAAATAATTAAACTATGTAATTACCAACTTACCGCTCATTAAAGTAGATTAATTTCAACCATCAAATTTTAATGAACCTTAATGGCTGAGATTGACTTAGACATGTCCCTTAGTCACCTGATGACTTACACAAGGACGAGCCAATGGAAGAGATGGAAATGAGATCAAGAAATAAAGACCCACTCTTCCAAATTTGGGTGCACATTATGTTACAAAGATAACATACATTTTCTATGCAGCTGTACGCACCATAGTTGGAGGCTGATTTAGGAGGAAAGGAAATGTTCAGCGACAATTCTCCGTTGGATCTTGCCACTGGCGGTCTTGGGGACGTCGTCGGTGATGAACACCTTCTTGGGGACCTTGAAAGCAGCGAGGTTTTTCTTGCAGAAGCTCTGCACTTCTGCCTCGTCGATCTTCGAGCCTTCTCTTGGGATGATAGCACAGTTGATCTGTTGGTTGACAAAAGAGCAGACTGGTGCATTAGCTCGACGTAATAGTCTACCTACTAGCAAATGTCAATCAATTGGGAAAGGTGGGGGGTTGTTTTACCTCTTCGCCGTACTTTTCATCAGGGACCGCGAAACAGACAGCTTGAGCGATGTCTGGATGAGATAGAAGAATCGAGTCCACTTCAATTGGAGATATCTTCTCCCCTGTTAATCACAGCAGTATATGATGATGATTTAGACAGCAGAATAAGTTCTCTAGAGACAATAGAATTGAAGTACAAAGTTAAATCCTGTCAAGCGTCAATCATGGGGAGCTTAGTTTAGTCGCATAAAGGAAAACATCAGTACAAGCATGCCAACCCAGCTTTTAACTAAGCCTGTTTGGCCAAACTTTCTGGATAAAGCAACTTGCATATGGGGTCAAGAAACCTATCTTTGTCAGCATCAACTAGAAGAAGAGGGAGCATGATGGTTGTAAAGTCTATTTTCCTGTGAGCCAGCCTAAAAGTATTCGTTTTTGGTGTACTAGACTATGAATCACACAACCACTTCTTAGTGGCTTATAAAGGAATGGCATTTAGAGCAGGACGGGAATAATTGAGGAAGACCCAACTCACAGTTGTTGATTAGGACAAGTCATGACCTTCTTTAGGAAGTTAAAAGTAAGCAATTAATCATAACTCATAAGGGAATGGAAGTTACCTCCACGGTTGACAAGCTCCTTAATCCTCCCCACAAGATGCAAATACCCATCGGAATCGAAGTATCCAAGATCTCCAGTATGGAACCACCCAAAAAGAAATCCGCTCTTGTTAGCATTAGGATTGTTCTTGTACCCCTTGGTCACATTAGGACCCCTGATACAGACCTCACCATTCGAGTTGGGACCTTGGATTTCACCATTTTCATTCAGGATCGCCATCTCTTGTCCCACTGGCTTCCCAACCGATCCGGGCTTGTGTGGCCCATCTTCCGGCAAAGGGTTGGACGACATCAAATGTGTTGCCTCGGTCATTGCATACGCCTCCAGAACCGGCGCCCCAAACGCCTCCTCGAGCCGAGCCATGATCGCCGGGGCGAGGGAGGCGCTGCAGCTCCGAATGAAACGAAGCTTGGGGTAAACCTGTTCCGGGGTACTAACATGACGGTCGAGGATGATCTGGTGGATGGTGGGAACTGCTGTGTACCAAGTGGCATTGTACTTGAGCATGTCTTGCCAGAATGTTGAAGCCGAGAATCTTCCTGCAGCTGGAAGAGTGACGGCAGCTCCGGCTGCTAATGAGCTCAGTAGCCCAGCTAACAAGCCGTGGACATGGAACAATGGCAGGACAATCACCGTCGAGTCGGATTCGGTGAGTTTGTAGACTGATTTGATGTTCTGAACTGAAGAGGCTAAATTGAGCTGAGTCAATGGGACGCCCTTGGGGCGGCTGGTGGTTCCTGAGGTGTGAAGGAAGAGCGCCCCGTCGGAGGGCTGGTTCACTACCTGGTCCAGCGAGTTAGCTCCCGACTCGGACGGAGGAAGAGAGAGAGCGAGCTCGGAATCTTGTACGGAGAGATCGGCGGTGGCATGGCGAATTTGGAGCTTCGAAGCGGCGGATTCGGCTGCCGTGTTCCCGTCGCGAGAAGTGAGCAATAGCTTGGATTCCGAGTCGGATAGGTAGAACTCGAATTCCTCCGCCGTGTAGGCGGCGTTGAGAGGCGCCGCTGTTGCTCTGGCGCGAATCACGGCTAGAAACATCACAACGAACTGCACAATCATATCACAAGAAAAAACAAAAAATGAATACCTAAGAAACAGCCAATTCTTCTCACGGATTCTTTCTCTGGCATTTTCTCAGCAACCAAACAGGCAAGTTCAAAAGCCCCAAATCTGCAACTTCTTCCTATCCAGAATCCAACTAAATTCGCAACCGCAAAGCGAACAGAGCAGAGACGGAAATTAGAACAGGTAATACCTCGACGGTGTTGGGGAAAGTGAGCGCGACAACGTCACCGGGCTTGATGCCGGCGGAGGTGAGGCGAGCGGCGGCGCGTTCTACGAGTTCATCGAGGCGAGCGTGGGTGAGGTCGAGTTTGCCGGAAACGGAGAGGGCGCGGCGGTCGGGGAATTCGTTGGCGACGTGCTTCAGCAGTCCGGTGAGAGTTTGAGTCGCCATTTTTGTGGAAGTAAACGAACGAGTGATTATCGGAAATTCGGGTTTGCTCTTATTATAGCAAGGGATGGAAGAAGAAAAAAAAAAGGGCCACCGAGCTGAAGGGGAAGAAAGAAGAAGCCAAATTGAAATGAAGGATTGGTCATTGGGAAACTCAAATTGACGATTTATAAATGACTTTTCAAAAACTATTTGGATGGTGTCTGGTGGAGGGCCGATCTGTCTGCCACGCGGCAGTGTTTCATGCCTCATGATGCGTATGTCTGCTGAGACTAATAAGGTTTATGGTACAGTTATTCTCTTAATCGTAATCTTAATTAGGCCCTAATGACAATCAGCTCTATTTTGATATATATGCCCTTTCAGATTCCAGAAGGCCAACATTTTTGCTGATACTTGCTTGCCTTTAGGATTCAACACTGTATGCAAATCACAAGCTTACCCTTTGAGGTAATTCCTAACCATCGTTAATTGTCAGTAATTTGAACATAAATTCACAAGAAAAAACAAGTTATAGAATAACTCGTTGTGACGTATCTAATTAGAAGCATGCGACTCACAATTACAGATGATATTTTAGTAGTATCAAATTCATTTTGTATTATCACGCCTCAACAAATGCTTGTTTGTGTTGTGTTCTTGTCAGTTTACAAGGAATCAAGGCATATTCCAAGCTACAGTCTCATCATGGTACACGCATACTGCAACTACTAGCACATGCTGTCGTCTTATTGTTAAAACAAATTAGCCCACCAACTCTTGCTGATGTTGATTATCTCAAATTCTTAATATACTATGATTTAGTATATTTAGCTGATCACTAAAATAAGTTTGATTACTGGATTATCTAATGAAATTGACACTGATGGCAATATAATTATATAAAATTTAAATCTTATATAGGTGATATGCTAATTCGAAACACTACAAAGCATGATTTATATAGGATTGTGAGGTTTAAGATTTAGTTTCAAACTATCTATGGGTCGTGTGAGAATTTCAGTGAGCTTTTATACTCTATATTTCTTGACTGTAAAAAAAAAAACTAACCAATAGCATATTAACAGGGACTTAATTAGTATTATGAAAATGGGGTCAATGATACATTTTTATATTTTATATTTTTAAATGATTATGATATTTCTCCGAATGTTCGACCTATATATTATTTCTTTATGTATCATCTTGATCGAATGATTATCAATAAGATTAAACGGGTTAATAGACTTAAAAGTAACATAAAAATACAAATAATCAAATATGAGCATTCCGGCCAAAGAGCCGGTTATAAGCTAGTGTGCAAATAATAGCACTTTTTGACTAAAGAATGCACGTGTAATACACCTAGTGATTGCTATGAAGAATTATAACTTAATCAAAACAAATAACTAACTAATCTTATCACCCAAACCCAAGCCTACCACGTTACCTGCAGCTTCTTTGATTGGGTTTCAAATCACCTTAATAGTCTGCTCAATTAGCTAGCACTAGACAGACCAAGCAGAAGAATTAAAGCCCAATTGTTTAAACTTATCAGCCCGACCCAACTACTCAACTAACTAAAACGTTGGAGTTTTAATTTCAAATACTAAAGGTTTCCCTCTTCCCTTGTGTTCGATCAACAGCAGCACTGTAACTAAAGTTAAACAAACAAAATCATGAACACCAAGAACTGATGAAAGAACCCAGCTGTTCTGCCCAAAAACTAAGAACCGAAATAAACCAAACCCAGGAGATGAGAGCTGGAGCTTAGCACTTCTGTTGGACTTCCCTTCTCTTCAGTTTTGGTCGAGATCCCTGCAATCACAAACTGCCCAGAAACGCACACAGAAGCACTAACAGAACTTAAACTGAGAAAACAGAGCAAGAGCACAGTACGCGATTTTTTATGTGGTTTCCAGTATTGGGAGAATGAGGATCCCAATACTGACTATTCCACGGTCGGAGACTCACTGTTGTGTGATCTCCGACGATTCACTAAAGATATTGTGATGAAGTTCGAAGTAACACTATCTACCCAAGAACCCTTTGATCAATCTCAATCCGATTGATCAAACACTCTCTTCTCAAACCCCGAATTGCTTCCCCAGCAACTCGTAACAGTGTTTCCCCAACACTAACCCTAAAATCAATTCTCCCCGAACCCTTTGAGAAACCCCTCTTTTCTATCAACCTTGCTACTCTCACAAAATCCCCTTTTGTCTTAGCTAGCTTTGTTGATCGCTTGAAAAGGTTGCCTTTCCTCTTGCTTTAGATCGCCTTTTATAGGCTGCCATGTAGCCGTTGCTCCTCAATATTCTTGCCGATTTGAAATCTTCACAAAGGGCAAGCTTTTGTTCTTTCTCCTATTGGTCTGAATACCTTACTTAACTACTTTAGGCACCCAACACATTTCCAGCTGTGATTTTTGACATTTGAATCTTGACTTTCCCTTCAAGCTGTAAGAAGTTCTGCCATTGTCAAGTTGATGCTAACACTGTTTGGTTTTAATCGATTGAAGTGTGTTTATTGAGCCAATTGATGCCTGATTAACTTCTTTTGATTTCTGCTTCAACCTATGATAAATATAATCTGATTAGGTTGGTAGAGTTTCTTCAATCGATAGAAGTGAATTGATTGTACGAGAGTCGGTCAATTCACTGCTCTGTACTGGAATCCTATTCCAATAGTGAAGTTCTATGTGAATCGCCTTAGTAGTCTATTCCTGTGAAGACTGAAGGCTAGTCTTCTGCCGGGTATTCTGTCTAAGAGGGCTAGGTCAACTTAAGAGATTCCAAGCTATTTTCGGATCTTCCGCAGTCTAATCTAGTGATCAACAAAAGAGAATTACAACTTGTAGCTAACTGATGAGCTAGGGAGACTCATTCCCGAGTGACTCTTCTTCTGCTAAGTAAACCGAATAATATACTGCTTTCTTCTATTTTTTATTAGAATCAAAATCGCTCAACTCTTACTGCTAGATAATAGAATTTCATGGAGTAGGAAGTAGATCTAGACCCCGGGTTGATAAATAAAGTTTACCGACTATTCTTCATTTTCATTCATTGGTTACACTTGGCCATTGTTTGGTGTTGTGTTGTAGCGTGTCAGTATGTTCTCGCAATGCCAAGGACCATTCTCGAAGACCCAAGTACTCGATTTCACACACTCAAATTGAAACAAAAACATATTGGTACCAAACACTGAAACAAATACCCTGCCATCTCTTCCGCAGAAACATTGAGCCCATCGACATATGATAGCGATCGGGGGCGCCGCCGTAAGGAATTCACCCACCAGAGCATTGCACCATCTGACCGCTCCTTAATCATGAACCGCCCTGGGAAAGACTAGATCTTCATCCACCAGATTTGGTGCAACATAGCGAAGACGATTGCCCTCACCCACGCCGAATAGCTGAGCCCAATTTAGGGGGCTCCAGGGCGGCCATGCCATCGCGTAAACGTGAAACTCCGAGCTTGGTCAGAAGGAGTAAGAAAGATGAGAGAAGGGAGATCGTTTTCAACTAGCGCGCAGTACTTAGTGCATGTCTATAAAAATTAACAAAGCCTTGATTCCCGACTAAGCGGTATAATCAGTTTCCTGCCAAGTCAATCGTTCCTAACACAATCGCGTGACGTTCACCGCTTGTCAGAGCAATAACACGAAGTATTAACACATAAGGCAAACAGTGTAAAGCGGTATCACGCATAGAAGATTCAATAAACATCAAAGCATCAAACAATATAAACCTGCTCTGAAAAGGTAGCCAAATAATTGTTAAAACACACAGAGCATCTAGCACTCCCAAAAGAAAAGTTTTTAAGTCAAGGTAACAAGCCACCTTACTATTACTCAGCTTCAAGTAAGGTTGCCAGAACAGTGACATGCTACGACACAACACCTAACAATGGCCAAGTGTAACCAATGAAAGGGACTACAGTATAGTGGTGCAAGTAATAAATATCGAATCCTCGGGTCTCTAGATGTACTATTACTCAGCTTCAATTCATTATCTAGCAAATCAGATTTAGGATTGACTAACTAAACTACTCTACAAACTAAACTAAGTAAAACTACTAATTACAGTTTGGGAACTCACTTAGGTAAGATTCCCCCTAGCTCCTCAATTAGGTCCAAATTGTAATTCCTTTTGGTTGTTTTACTGTTGATTAAACTGCGAAAGATCCTAAATTAGCTTGGAATCTCTTAAGCTGACCAAGCCCTCTTAGACAGAATACCCGGCAGGCGATTAGCCTTCAGCGGGATAGACTGCTAAGGCGATTCACACTGATATCCGTTACTAGAATGAATTCCAGTACAAAGCAGTGAATTGACTGACTCTCGCACAACCAATTCACTACTATCAATCAAGGAAGCTCTCTTAACCTAATCAGATTCTATCTATCAAAGGTTAAAGCAGAAATCAAGAGAATTTGATCAGGATTGAATTGACTCAATAAATTATGCCTCAATCGATTATAATCACACAATATAGCATCCAGAACTTCATACAAGAAAGATCCTAACATATGGAACTAGGGTTCCTCAGAACCTAAGTGAAAGGAAGTTACTCCATAGAGAAGAGAGAGACTGCAGAAATCTGATCTAGATCTTCAATCTCCATATCCAAGCTTGATTCTCAAGCTCCAATGGTGAAGAAATCCTTCAAAATAGCTCCAAGAATGGCTCTAGATCACCCTCTCTCTCTTTGGTTCGTCCCTTGGGTGTTTGGGATCCAAAACCCAGCTCTCCCTCTCCAAAAATCGCAAAACACCTTTTATACCCACTGAAACTCGCACCCCCTACTTACACGGCCGTGCAAATTGAGGTTTTGGCCGTGCAAACGCCCTGAGAAACCCACACGATCGTTCAGAATTTCACACGGCCGTGCACAATTTCCAGCATGCACTCATAAGCTTCGTTGATCTCGTTTGAGCTCGTTTGACCTCCAATTTAGGTGCCGTTTGATCCCAGATGCTCGTAGTCTTGTCCTCTTTCTTTTCATGAAAAGCTTTAATGATTATTTGTCAATAAAATGAGGTATAAATCCATTTTTTCTCAAGTCATTCCCGAGTTTCTCACCTCGAGTCGCCAATTGATCTCCTATTGACTTGAAACTTGCGCCTAGGCTTCACTTTACATGCTAGGACCTGAAATGTGACAAAGGAACACATCCTAGCGTAAAATAGTCCAATAAATAAAAAACTCAAGCCAAAATGATCAAGAAATGAGGGTTCAAACATGTGCAAATACGACGTTATCAAATTCCCCCACACTTAACCGTTTGCTTGTCCCCAAGCAAACCTAACTCAAAACAATGAAACTCTCCAGACCTTTATAGAAACATGCAACCAAGATCGTCGGTAGAGGACGTTCTAAGTCATTTAGCCGCTTACGGGTCAACCAACGTACAAGACACCTCCTACCTTCTTCGGCGAGAACTCTAGTCCCGAGTCAGGATCATGCCAAGTAGTGATCGGAGGACAAGTGATTTGTGGACAAAGAGACTCTAAAATTTAGAAAGGTCATGGACTCATTTTTTTAGGTGCTCTATTTTTTTCTCCTTTAAAGATGGTTGGAACCCCTTTTTTTTTCTTTTTCTTTGTTTTGTTGTTTGTTTTTTTCCAAGGGTCCTAACCTGTTATTTCCAGAAAACGGGGCTCCCACCTATTAAAGGTTTAGAGGGAGCCCAACTTTTACCGGCCATGCCGGGAGCAGATGTCTCGAGCCTTGTGCGGGGGAAAGAAGTGTAAGGGGGCTTGAGGTAGTAGGTGGAAGTTGGGAACGGATTCCCGTCTCCCCTTACACACTTTAGCCCTATTCGCACGGGAGACGTTATTTTAAAGCATATTTTCGAGCACCTTTTTATTTTAAAACATGATACAGGAGTCCATGACAGGTAGAGAGTTCACAATACCACACAATTCAAGGGTCCTAAGATCACTAATTCACACAATCAACCAACACAATATGAAGAAAAAAGGGGACTTCTTAAATGCATCAACATCCTCCATAGTGCTACACTACCTCCCTAGGTTGCATATTACTATAAAGACTGTCAATTCAAAGCATACTGAGCAGGCAGTTGCAAGGAGCACGTGCTTGGAGCCCTCTAATCGAAATTTGGACAGTGGACTAGGCTCCAAAAATACACAAACAACCAAACATTCACATGCAAACATAATAGAACATCCCCCCACACTTAAGCACGACATTGTCCTCAATGGAGAAAAATAAGGAGGGTAGAACGAAGTTACCAGATCAAGTTTGAATGATGGTGGACGGGCCAGACGGTGCATTCAGGAGGAGAGAGAACAGTAAAAACACAAACACCACACAAAATCCCACAAAGGTTGAGTTATTGACTCTAAAATCAAAAGACAAACTGACTCAACCGAAGAGACATAGGGAAAGAAAGTGCAAACCTACTGGTTGGGTTGCCTCCCAACAAGCGCTTCTTCCACGTCGTGAGCCAGACGATGGCTCTTAAATTTCGGCCCATGCTAGAACCTCCTTGAAGTTGAGGTTTTCATCGGCGAGGCGGAGTCTCAAGTCACGAGCATGTGGTATGACTGGTGATGTAGGCTCGTGTACTTGATGAATATGAAGTCTCCACCTGCGAGACCTCTTCTTTTCTTCCTCTCTCGTCTCATTGCCCCAAACCAGATATGACAGCATTGACTGACCACCATCGTGTCCACCAAGAGGGACCAATGTCGATGTGGCCTTGGTCTGGCAAAGAAACACTGCAAATGGGTCCTTGCCAAGCAGCTCCTCAAATTTTGGTGGAGATATCACATGTAACTCATAGCCGGTGCAAGCCTCTTCCACCTCAACTTCATCCTCAGCCTGGACACCAATTGCTTCTTCAAACCCCCTTCCTTCCTTAGAATTTGATTCCTCCCCTGGGAAAAGATCAAGAACTTCCTCTAATTCACTTCCGTCATCCTCCACAACTTCTTTCCTCATCCTTTCTCGCTCTTCTTCTTCTGGCATGGATTGGAGAGCAAGTTTCCATGCAATCTTTTCAATAAGATCAGATTGCATGTTCTCGCTCATGCCCGTCTCTTCAGCGCTCGGTGAGGGATGCGGAAAGGTATGGTCAGCTACAGCAGGACATTTCTGTTCATGATCATCAGAGGAGCTCTTTATGACAACTTCTGTATGCTCCACGACATCCTCATGATTGACTTCTTCTACCTCCTTCTCTACTTGTATTGTAGCATAAAGGTTGTCTTGAGAAAACTGTGCACAAGCTTTCACTATGACCTCTGTGTGCTTCCTTATGCTCCGAAGGGTCTCCTTTGTTTCACGGGGGAAGGAGAAGTCAGTTTGGGAAACGACCTGTATATGAGGATCCATCTCGGGAAAGGGTCTCTCATGTACTCGAGCAATCTGCTCCACGTGAAGCCTCAAGTGATAATTTGGACATGGATTTGGAATGTAGCATGGCTATGCCGGATGGCCCGTGATAGCTGTGGCTAACTCAAGATCTGATGGCCATTCTGGTTGTGGGAGAAATTCTTCTTGATAAGGAGATTGTTCTTGAAATGCCCAAGGGTTTAATTGTTCTTCGTAGTAGGGGGGTTGGTATTGAAACCCGAATCCATAGTCTTCTCCTGCTTGATTGCTCCAGGATGTCTCAGGGTAATACCACTCGGGTGGTGGTGGATACCCCCAATGGTTGGAGAAGCCATGAGGATCCATGATTCAGATCTGCACCAACAAAAACAAAAACACCAAAGTGAAAAGCAAGGGTGAAAAAGAAAAAAAACACTAAAGTAATAAACTTCTGCATTTCCTAATAATCTAGAAATTCCCCGGCAACGGCGCCAAAAACTTGACACGCTAAACACAACACCAAACTGCGACCAAGTGTAATTGCAGTCCGGAAATGAAGTAACAGGCAAGCTCTATTTGTCAACCCGGGGTCTAGATCTACTGCCTACTCCGTGAATATATATTATCTAGCAAACTAAGTCGAGTGATTGTGATTTTAACTAAAAGCAGTAAGAAAGCAGGAAATGGTTCAAAGTTCTTTAGCAAGGGAAGAGTCACTCGGGAATGAGTCCCCCTAGCTCTTTAGTTAGGTCGAGGTTGTAATTACCCTGGGTTGATTAACTATTGATTAAACTGCGGAAGATCCTAAATTAGCTTGGAATCTCTTAAGCTGACCAAGCCCTCTTAGACAGAATAACCGGCAGGCGACTAGCCTTCAGCAGGATAGACTGCTAAGGCGATTCACACAGATATTCACTACTGGAATGAATTCCAGTACAAAGCAGTGAATTGACTGACTCTCACACAACAATTCCCTACTATCAATCAAGGAAGCTCTCTTACCCTAATCAGATTCTATCTATCAAAGGTTAAAGCAGAAATCAAGAGAATTTGATCAGGATTGAATTGACTCAATAAATCAATCCTCAATTGATTATAATCACACAATATAACATCCAAACTTCATACAAGAAAGATCCTAACATATGGAACTAAGGTTCCTCACAATCTAAGTGAAAGGAAGTTACTCCATAGAGAAGAGAGAGACTGCAAAAATCTGATCTAGATCTTCAATCTCCATCTCCAAGCTTGATTCTCGAGCTCCAATGGTGAAGAAATCCTCCAAAATAGCTCCAAGAATGGCTCTAGATTACCATCTCTCTCTCTCTCTTTGGTTCGTCCCTTGGGTGTTTGGGATCCAAAACCCAGCTCTCCCTCTCCAAAAATCGCAAAATAGCTTTTATACCCGCTGAAACTCGCACCCCCTACTTGCACGGTCGTAAAAATTGAGGTTTGGTTGTGCAAACCCCCTGGGAAACCCACACGTCCGTGCAGAATTTCACACGGCCGTGCACAATTTCCAGCATGCACTCCTAAGCTTCGTTGATCTCGTTTGAGCTCCGATTCAGGTGCCGTTTGATCCCAGATGCTCGTAGTCTTGTCCTTTTCTTTTAATGACAAGCTTTCTTGATTATTTATCAATAAAATGAGGTATAAATCCATTCTTTCTCAAGTCATTCCTGACTTTCTCACCCTGAGTCGCCAATTGATCTCCTATTGACTTGAAACTTGCGCCTAGGCTTCACTTTACATGCTAGGACCTGAAATGTGACAAAGGAACACAACCTAGCGTAAAATAGTCCAAGAAATCAAAAACTCAAGCCAAAATGATCAATAAACGAGGGTGCAAACATGTGCAAATACGACGTTATCAAACATCCAAACCCAACTAGAAGGCGAATATTTATAATTATCTAACTGCTTCCAACAATTAAAATGTTTATTCCTTATATCATCAATATTATTCTTTAGTACTCAACACACTGTTCACAACGAGATGGAATATTGAAAAAACAAATTCAACCTCTTCTCTTCTTCCGGGCGTATCCGAATTTTATTCGAAAAAAGTGAGTTCGCTGCCATTTCAATACATCACTTTGCTGTACCCATCTGAGCTCCAAGCTTAGTTGCTTGGTCCATCCACAAAGGCGTACCCTGCAAACTTGCAACCCTACTCAAACCCTCCACTGTCATATACTCCAGAGATAGCTCTCGGATTCTAACCCATTTTGGCAACTTAGTTCAGTCCATCTTCATTGATTGAATCACTTACACCCATTTATGAAGGAACATAGGTATGTGATAACGTCTTATTTGCACATGTTTGCACCCCTGTTTCTTAACTGTTTTGGCTCGAAACTGTGTTTCCTTGGCCTATTTTACGCTGGGTTGTGCTCTTTTGTCACATTTCAGGTCCTAGTCTTTAAAGAAAGGCCTAGGCGCTAGTTTCAGATCGTTTGGAGGTCATTCGGCCAAGCTAAAGAGAAACACGGGCAACTTGCCTTAGGAACACGAGCGTGTTTCAACTGGGGGCACGCCAGTGCTTTTTAGTGCGAGAGTGATGCCGAGATAGGAGCAAAACACGCGCGGAATTTTGAAGGAACACGACAGTGTACTCAAAGAGCCTTGCAGTGTTTATTGTGCCGAAGGTGGGTTCGCTACAAGACGAAGAATCCAAAGCATGGGCGCGCTAAGGCCAGAATTCAGACGTGTTCAACCAAGTGCACGACCTTGTTTTCAGACGCGATGGTGTAACCCCCCGCGACTAGTTTATTTCCCACGTGAAGATCCAAAACACGGGCGAATTGGGAAGAACACGGTCGTGTCCTTGCCCGTGTTCTGCCCAATGTCGGGTTAAATAGGCTGTTTAGAGCCAAATAGAAGATAATCGAGTTTTTAGAGCAAAATACAGAGTTTTAGAGTGAGAAAGGATGAAGAACAGAATTCACGTTTCTTCAACAACCTAGCCGTCCCCGGAAACGGCGCCAAAAACTTGACTCACTCCTACTGTCACTCTAGAAAATGGCCAAGTGTAACCACTTCCTAAAGCGTAGTATAGCGGGTTTGGGTTTTAATGTCAACCCGGGTCCTAGATGTGATGACTACTCAGCGAATTCTTATTATCTAGCGGTGAAACTTTAGTGCAAGTTCAAACAAGCAAACAAGTAAAGCAAGCAATTAAACGGTTGTTTTCAAGTCGAGAGAGGTCACCCGGATATGGTTCCCACTAGACTGCAGTTAAGCCGGATTGTAATTTACCAAGTTCAATTTCTATGATAGTTATACTGCGGAAGGTTCTTAAACAGTCTGAAGTCTCGACTAAAGGTCTCCAGACCCTTTCAATCTGAGTCTCTAGCAGGCGACTAACCTCCACCGGAGTAAATAGATTGAGGCCCTAACGAACAAAACCTCCACTACCGAAGTAACTTCGGTACAAAATAGTGAATTGGCTCCTCGAATAAAGTCGCCAATTCACTACCTTCAATTAAGGGTGCTCTATCAACCTAGGCAGATATTCTCTTCCTAGGTTAAAGCAGAAACAACAGGAATTTGATCAGGATTCAAGTCATTATATCATTCAAGCCTCAATTGAATATAATCAAATCATAAAATCTGTACTTGGGTTCATACAATCATACCTAACATACAAATTTAGGGTTCTCCATACCCAGATGAATGGGAAAACTACTCCATGGAGAGAGAAACAAAAGCAGATTCATATGCGGAAACCATACTGTGAAGGATGGGTTTCTGCTCCTAGTCGTCAATCGGCACTTCTCCAAGCTCAAGTCGGGCTCCAATGGTGATGAAGATCAAGCTAGGGCACTTGGGAACTCTGGTTCGTCGCTTTTTCTCTCTAGGAATCACTCTGTCTCTCTAAAACTTGGAACCCCTTCTCTTTTGGCTCAAATCTGCCTAAAAGGGCAACCCTGGGCAAAACACGGTCGAGGGCACGGCCGTGCTTTGATTTTGCCCGCCCGTGTTTTGCCCCGTGTTAAAAACACGCCCGCGTCGGCCAAAACACGGTCGTGCCTAAATATGGACATGATGACTCGATATTTGCACATGTTTTCCCCTTTGTTTCTTGATCGTTTAAGCTTGCATTATTGCTTCTTTGGCCTATTTTACGCTAGGTTGTGTTCCTTTGTCACATTTCAGGTCCTAGTACATAAAGTGAAGCGTAGGCGCAAGTTTCAAGTCAATCGGAGATCAATTGGCGACTCGGGGGAAGAAACTCGGGTATGACTTGAAGAAGAAGGGATTTCCACCTCAGTTTGTGACCATATAATCATATAATCTTGTCATGAGAAGAAAGAGGACGAGACTATGAGCGTCTGGGATCAAAAGGCACCTGATTTGGAGTCCGAACGAGAGAGAAACGAAGAATCAAAGATAGGGGAAAATTGGTTTCGGGCTTCTCTGAGAAACAGAAGGGAGCCCTATCGTGAACCAAAAATCCCCGGTGGTGAACCGAAAAATCCCCGGTCGTGACCTTAAATACCCGACCGGGTATTTAGATCGGGGATCGCAAACGCAGGCTGTTAAAAGCCTGTTTTGTGCGTTTTTACAAGGGAGAGCTGGGTTTTGGATCCCAAACACCCTAGGGACGAACCAAAGAGAGAGAGGGCGATTTGAGGGCATTCTAAGAGGGGAATTGGAGGATTTCTTCGCCTTGGAAGCTCGAGGAATAAGCCCGGACTTGAAGATTGATCATCTGAAGATTCTTACTGCAGTCTCTCTCTTCTCTATGGAGTAACTTCCCTTCACTTAGGTTTTGAGGAACCCTAGCTATGATTGTTTGATTGGATGATTGTATGAGTACTCTTACTTGATAATCTTGAGTTCATATTCAATCTATGCATGTTTTCACGATTCAATTATGCTTTAGTCGAGATTATTGATTCTGCTTTGATCCTATGAGAGCGAATACCTGATTAGGTCAATAGAGCACCATAGATTGATAGTAGTGGATCGATTGCTTTAGTCGAGGGTTGATTCACTACTTTGTACCGATTGAGAACCTCATTCGATAGAGGGGATCTAGTTCAGAACGCCTTGATCGGTTGTTCTAGAGAAGGATACGTCCCTCTAGGCAATTGACTCAAGAGGGCCTTGTTCCTTTAGTCGAGACTCAGGGTCTAGTCAAGGATTCTACGCATTGTGAATGAAAGTGAAACAGGTTAGAGATCATCAATCATTAATCTGGCTAGTGGCTAGGGGGAATCATACCTAAGTGAGTTCCCAACCTGTAATTAGATTAACTTTAACTGTAGTTTGCTAGAGTAGTTTTAGTTCTTTCATCTTAATCTGGTTTGCTAGATAATGAACTGAAGATGAGTAATAGTAACTCTAGAGACCCATGGATTCGATATTTATCACTTGAGCCACTATACTGCAGTCCCTTTCATTGGTTACACTTGGCCTTTGTTAGGAGTTGTGTCATAGCGAGTCAAGTTTTTGGCGTCGTTGCCGGGGACTTTCTAGAGTATTAGGAAAGGCAGAAGTTTGTTACTTTAGCGTTTTTCTTTTCTTTTCCACCCTTGCTTTTCACTTGGGTGTTTTTGTTTTTGTGGGTGCGGACTGAAATCATGGATCCTCATTGGGGGTATCCACCACCATCTGAGTGGTATTACCCCGAGACTCCCTGGAGCAATCAAGAAGGAGAAGACTATGGATTCGGGTTCCAGTACCAACCCCCTTACTACAGAGAACAATCAGACCCCTGGGCATATCAAGAACAATCTCATTAGCAAGAAGAATTTCTCCCACAACCAGAAGGGCCATCGGAGCTGGAGTTACCCATGGCGGCCTTCACGGGCCATTCTGCAGAGCCATGCTACACTCCACAGCCAGATCCAAACTATGAATTGAGGCTTCTCATGGAGCAGTTTGCTCGAGACAGTGAGAGATCATTGTCTAGGATGGATCTTTGTACCCAGGCCTATCGCGAAACAGAGGAGATCCTCCTGAGCCTTAAGAAGAGCGTCGATTATCTTGAGCGATCTTGTGCACAACCTGCTCCAGATCACCCTTCTGCTACCATACTAGAAGAGGAGGAGGAGGAAGAAGGCTACAAGGACATGGTGGAGCACACAGAAGTTATCACGGAGAGCTCCCGTGATGATCATGATCAGGAATGTCCTGTCGTAGTCGACCACACCTTCCCACATCCCAATCTGAGCTTTGAAGAGGCGGGCATGAGTGAGGAGATGCAAGAAGATCTCATGAAAGGAATTGCTTGGCAACTTGCTCTCCAATCCGTGCTAGAAGAAGAAGAGCAAGAAAGGGTGCAGAAAGAAGTTGTGGAGGATGACGAAAGTGAAGCAGGAGGAGTTCTTGATCATTTCCCAGGGGTGATACCACATGAACAAGGAAGGGAGGTTGACGAAGCAATTGGCGTCCAGGCCGAGGACGAAGTTGAGGTGGAAGAGGCCTGCACCGGCCATGAGTTGCAAGTAATATCCCCATCAAACTTCAGGGAATTGCTTAGCAAGGACCCATTTGCAGTGTCTCTTTGCCAGACCAAGGCCACATCGACATCGGTCCCTCTTGGTGGACGCGATGGTGGCCAATCCATGCTGTCATATCTGGTTTGGGGCAATGAGAAGAGAGAAGAGAAGAAGAGGTCTCGAGGGTGGAGACTTCATCTGCATCAAGTGCACGAGCTTCCATCTATTGTCATACCACATGCTCGTGACTTGAGATTCCACCTCATCGACGAGAACGTCAACTTCAAAGAGGTTTTGGGGTGGACCGAAACTTAGGAGCCATCGTCCGGCTCACGACGTGAAAGAAGCGCTTGTTGGGAGGCAACCTAACCAGTCGGTTTGCATTTCTTTCTCTTTTTCTCCTCGTTTGAGTCAGTTTTGTTATTTGATTTTAGAGTCAATAACTCAACCTTTGTGAGATTTTGTGTGGTGTTTTGTTCCGACTACTCTCTCCTCCTGGAATGCACGGCCTGCCCCGTCCACCATCATTCACCCTTGATCTGGTAACTTCGTTCTACCCTCCTTATCTTTCCTCCATTGAGGACAATTTTGTGCTTAAGTGTGGGGGGATTGATGTTCGATTATGAATGCGTGTGAATGTTTGGCTGTTTGTGTGCTTGGAGCCTAGTCCACTGTCCAAATTTCTATTTGAGGGCTCCAAGTACGTGTTCCTTGCAATTGCCTGCTCAGTATGCTTTGAATTGACAGTCTTTATAGTAATATGCAACCTAGGGAGGTAGTGTAGCACTATGGAGGATGTTGATGCATTTAAGAAGTCTCATTTCTTCTTCATATTGTGTTGGTTGATTGTGTGAATTAGTGATCTTAAGACCCTTGAATTGTGTGGTGTTGTGGACTCTATACCTATCATGGACTCCTGTATCATGTTTTGAAATAAAAGGTGCTCGATAATGTGCTTTAAAATAACATCTCCCGTGCGAATAGGGCGAAAGTGTGTAAGGGGAGACGGGAATTTGTTCCCAATTTCCACCTACTACCTCCAGCCCCCTTACATTCCTTTTCCCCGCACGAGGCTCGAGACATTCGCTCCTGGCATGGCCGGTAAGATCCGGGTTCGAGCCTCGTGCAGGGAAAAGGAATGTAAGGGGGCATGGCCGGTAAAGTGAAGCGTAGGCGCAAGTTTCAAGTCAATTGGAGATCAATTGGCGACTCGGGGGAAGAAACTCGGGTATGACTTGAAGAAGAAGGGATTTCTACCTCAGTTTGTGACCATATATTCATATAATATTGTCATGTGAAGAAAGAGGACGAGAGTACGAGCGTCTGGGATCAAACGGCACCTGATTTGGAGTCCGAACGAGGGAGAAACGAAGAATCAAAGATAGGGGAAAATTGGTTTCGGGCTTCTCCGAGAAACAGAAGGGGGCCCTATCGTGAACCAAAAATCCCCGGTCGTGAACCAAAATCCCCGGTCGTGACCCAAAAATCCCCGGTCGTGAATCAAAAAATCCCCGGTCGTGACCTAAAATACCGGACCGGGTATTTTGACCGGGGATCGCGAACGCAGGCTGTTAAAAGCCTGTTTTGTGCGTTTTTGCAAGGGAGAGCTGGGTTTTGGATCCCAAACACCCTAGGGACGAACCAAAGAGAGAGAGGGAGATTTGAGGGCATTCTAAGAGGGGAATTGGATGATTTCTTCACCTTGGAAGCTCGAGGAATAAGCCCGGACTTGAAGATTGATCATTTGAAGATTCTTACTGCAGTCTCTCTCTTCTCTATGGAGTAACTTCCCTTCACTTAGGTTTTGAGGAACGCTAGCTATGATTGTTTGATTGGATGATTGTATGAGTACTCTTACTTTATAATCTTGAGTTCATATTCAATCTATGCATGTTTTCACGATTCAATTCTGCTTTAGTCGAGATTATTGATTCTGCTTTGATCCTAGGAGAGCGAATACCTGATTAGGTCAATAGAGCACCATAGATTGATAGTAGTGGATCGATTGCTTTAGTCGAGGGTTGATTCACTGCTTTGTACCGATTGAGAACCTTATTCGATAGAGGGGATCTAGTTCAGAACGCCTTGATCGGTTGTTCTAGAGAAGGATACGTCCCTCTAGGAAATTGACTCAAGAGGGCCTTGTTCCTTAAGTCGAGACTCAGGGTCGAGTCAAGGATTCTCCGCATTGTGAATGAAAGTGAAACAGGTTAGAGATCATCAATCATTAATCTAGCTAGTGGCTAGGGGGAATCATACCTAAGTGAGTTCCCAACCTGTAATTAGATTAACTTTAACTGTAGTTTGCTAGAGTAGTTTTAGTTCTTTCATCTTAATCTGGTTTGCTAGATAATGAACTAAAGCTGAGTAATAGTAACTCTAGAGATCCGTGGATTCGATATTTATCACTAGAGACACTATATTGCAGTCCCTTTCATTGGTTACACTTGGCCTTTGTTAGGAGTTGTGTCATAGCGAGTCAGGACACGACCGTGTTTTGCTTTAGGCCAGCCCGTGTTTTGCTTTTCCATCAGTTTAGCTCACGGCAATAAAAACACTGGCGTGCCTGTTTGTGTACACGGTCGTGTTTTGGTTTAGGCCAGCCCGTGCTTTGGCCCCAGCTCGACCGAATGACTTCTAAATTCCCCGAAACTCGTGCTTAGCCTTTCCTTCGACGTCTGGGACCTGAAATATGACAAAGTAGCACAACCCGGCGTAAAATGGGCAAAAAATACACGACTACTCGCCGCAAACGGATGAGAACTAGGGATGCAAATATATGCAATTACATCGTTATCTAATTCCCCCACACTTAACCGTTTGCTTGTCCCCAAGCAAACCTGACTCAAACCAATGCAACTCTCCAGACCTCTATAGAAACAAACAACCCCGATCGTCGGTAGAGGATTTTCTAGATCATACAGCAGCTTACGAGGTCAACTGGTCTTCTAAGACGTTCCCTATCTCTCTCAATGCGAGTACTAGACTCAAGCTAGGATCATGAGAAGAAGTAGAAGTAAGACAGTCAGTTCATGGATAAAGGGACTCATGTCATTCTCAACCAAGGCCTCGTTGTACCGGGGTGCTCTTTTCACTTCATTTCACCGTTGGAACCCCTTTTTCACTTTCATTTTACTTTTTTTTTCTTTTTCATTCACTTGGCGGGGGTTCCAACTACAGTCTCTTACAAGGTCGACCCTTATTAGTCGAGCAAGAGCAATTTGTGTACATCTGGCGCTCGCCAGAGTACTTCTTTTAACTCCTTTTCCTCAACTAGTGTGGAGGGTCAATGAAATTAAGGGGGTCGGAAGCTCTATTCGTGTCCTTAAAAACACATCCTCAAGTAGGCAAACCGTTCAACGGGTGGAAGTTTTACTTGTACTAGAGACAGCTTAGCTTCACCTTGTAGGAGTACCCCACTAAGGATCACTAAAATCTCTTCCAAAACCCGATTTGGTGCAATGAACGGTGCCGCACACGTTGGGCTTACCCCATGTTTAAGATTTTGATGATTTTGACATGGAGAACCAACTGCATTTTTCATTTTCCACATGAACACCCTGTTCGATACACGAGTCCATAACACAATCCAAATAGAGTCACCATTATCACATGAATTCAATGGTCCTAGCTCCACTAATTCACAAAATCGACTGGCACAACAGAGAGCTAGATAGGAAAAATCTTATACTTCAACATCCTCCATAGTGCTACACTACCTCCCTAGGTTGCACATTATTATAGAGACTGTCAATTCAAAGCATACTGAGCAGGCAATTTGCAAGGAAACACGTACTTGGAGCCCTCAAATTTAAAAATTTGGACAGTGGACTAGGCTCCAAGCACACAAACAGATCTAATGCAGTCAAAAGAGAAACACCCCCCCCCCCCCCCACACACACACACTTTAGATCGACATTGTCCTCAATGGAGAAGAGGGAAAGATAAGGGGAACGATGTTACCGGTGTGCACGGACTACATGAGACTGGAAGTGGACCAGTCTGAGCGAAGAGGACTGGAGAGGGGACCAGTCAGGGACAAAGCAGAGCTAAAGGGAATAGAAGAACTCAAACACAATATGTTAGGTCCAATGGTCAGCCCAATAATGCATCATCCAAAACAAAAGAAAACAAACCAAAACCACACCAGTTTACAATCCGACTCAAAACAAAAGAAATAAATGAAAACCGTGGTGGGGTTGCCTCCCCACAAGCGCTTCTTTACCGTCTTTTAGTTGGACGCCCATGGTGGATACTCAGCAGGGTGTAGGAGCAGGTGCCTCCAAGAGCGGATCCACATCGTTCTTGAGCTACAGCTTCATATGGTGACCATGCACCCGACGGGTGCGACCACCAGCATTGGTCAGCTCGACCTGGCCATCCGGAAAGATGCAGGCGAGGGAGTACTCGGATGGCCAGGGTGGTCGTGGTACAGGAGGTGGGACCAGCTCATAGTGGTCTCCACCTTGCTTTCGAGCAGGCTTAGCCACCTGCGGCTTCGGCCGCCACTCCTCTTTGAGATTTTTATTTGCAGGTGAGGTTGAATGGGGTGGCGGCGAAGGCATGAGAGGGGAATCCTGCAACACGAGATACACAGAGGGGTACACGACAGGCTCGTGTACCTGGTGAGAAATGGCATGCATAGGTGTGACAGCAGGCATATCACAATGATCAAGGTCAGCCACAGAAAAAGTAGCCTGTTCATTCCCGGCACGCAAGATCAGTTTACCACTATGAACATCAATTAGTGCCTTGACGGTGGCAAGAACTGGTCTACCCAAAATCAAAGGCACATCCACATCCACATTTATATCCAGAATAACAAAATCAACAGGATATGTGAATGCGCTTACTTTAACAAGCAGATTGACACGCCAAAACACAACACCAAACTGCGACCAAGTATAATCGCAGTCCGGGAATGCAGTAAAATGGCAAGTTCTATTATCAACCCGGGGTCTAGATCTACTGCTTACTCCGTGAGTATCTATTATCTAGCCAACTAAGTTAAGTGTTTGTTGTTTTAAGCAAAAGCAGAAAGAAAGCAGGAATTGGTACGGTTTTCTCAAGCAAAGATGAGTCACTCGGGAATGATTCCCCCTAGCTCCTTAGTTAGGTTTCAATTGTAATTTCCCTGGGTTGATTTACTGTTGATTAGATTGCGGAAGATCCGACAGTAGTTTGGAATCTCTTAAGCTGACCAAGCCCTCTCAGTCTAACTACCCGGCAGACGACTAGTCTTCACTGGGATAGAAAGCTGAAGCAGTAAGAACAGAACTCCACTACTGGAATTGAATTCCAGTACAAAGCAGTAAACTGGCTAACTCTCGTATAGCCAATCTCCTACTACCGAATGATGAGGCTCTAACAACCTAATCATATTCTATCTATCTCAGGTTGCAGCAGAAATCAGGAAAAGCTGATCAGATTTCAATTGACTCAATAAACATGCATCATTCGATTAAAACCAAGCAGTAATATCATCCCAAGTCATTACAATCAAATCCCTAACACATAGAACTAGTGTTCTTCATACCCAAGTGAGAGAAGGGTTCTACTCCATAGAGAGAGAGGGAAACAGAATACAGAGTAGTCATACTCATAAAGATGAGGAAAATCTGCTCTGGGATGATGATTTCCACTCCTATGACGATCTCCAAGCTTGATTTGATGAAACCCAGCTCCAAGATAGCTTCTAGGATGTGTTCTTCGTACTTTCTCTCTCTAGGGCTCTGTTTTTGCTCTCAAAACTCGATTCTCCCACTTGCAGCCCAAAATTGGGTAAAAAACCAGAAATTCCCGACTCACACGGGCAGGCCCACACGGCCATGTGGCATACCCAGTTGCCCGTGTGACTTAAAAACGCCGCGTTCCGAGTAATTGGATTTCAGGCTTCCAACACGGCCAGGGTCACACGGCCGTGTAGCTCACCCAGCCTGGCCATGTGAAGCC